GTTTAAAGTGCTTATCTTTGAGAGCCATTAGGTTTTGGCATTAAAAAAATATGTGAAATAAACTGATTATTACATACTGTTAATGTTTTATATTAATAAATTCTTTCTTTGACGATCTTGTTTCCCTAGGAGTAAACATTTGTTTAGGGTGACCATTAATTGGTAGCTTAAACCCTTTTAGCCAAGACAATGCTGTTTTTTCCTTAGTTATTGTTTTCCAATTGTTACAAAAACCGGCTAGCCTTCCTGCGATTTTACTAACCTGTGGTATTATTTTCGATATTTGTCCGTCTTCCTGTACTCCGATTTCTCGTTGCGGTTGTTCATTGTTTTGTACTGGTGATATCATCTGACCTGGTTTGCTCTTTGCTGAGTTGTCCAGGACGGACCTTAGTAGTTTAAAGAACGAGGGTTTGCGAAGGGTTTTTTAGTTGGCTTTGGTTTTAATTTTGGAGGCTTTAACTCCAAAGAAGCATTATCCAAACTCCTGGAGTGTTTACCCTTTCCTCTAGGTCGCCTCCTGGGCACGAGGTTAAACTGCCCCCCATCTGTCCGAACCCGACCCGTGGGCTGACGTGCCAGCTTACACCGTATGCCCTGGCTTTTCCGTTTGGTTGCTCTTCTGATTACCCTCCTGAACACGAGGTGAAACTATTCCCGCTCTTTTGATTTCGTCTGCTGGGGGCGGGCTCATGGACGCCGCGTGCGATGCCTGCATCGGCTGGGCCCAGCTGGTGCGGGCAGCGCGTGCGCCGTCGGTGGGTTAGCCCACTTTGCCTGTCCATCGTACTCTCTTTCGTTTTCTCATACATACCAGCCTCCTAGGCACGAGGTGAAAATGCCTGCTATCTGGCCTGCGGACGGCGTTCGTGACGCCTGTACTCGGTCTGCCCAGCCGATACAGGCCGCGTGGGCGCTGTCGGCAGGTGAGAACGCACCGCCTGTCCTGGTCTCTCTCTTATGGTCTGCTCTTATTCACCGCCCTCCCGGGCATGAGGTGAAAATGCCCCTTATTGGATCTACTTATTTCGTCTGCTGCTGTCTGGCTTTCTGGGTTTTTTTTTCTTGTTTACTCTGCTATACCACCCTTTCGAGGCACGAGGTTAAAATCCGCCTCACGTCCTTCGATGTCGACCGCTGTGGGTCGGCTTGCCGACGGTTTCTAGGTTATGCACCGGGACCTGGTCGCCGTCGTCAGGCCGATACACTTCGCTTGTCCTGGTACTTCTTATGGTTCGCGCTGAGTCTATTGTATGGACTCTCTTCTTCAACGACCATCCAAGTAATTTAATTTAGTTTTAGTTAGTTAGTAAGTAATCCCAGACTCCTTATGACTTCTAAAATTTTTGAATTGGCTGGTTCATCACAGAGGTATTAGGAACTCTGTAGCCCGCTTATGGCGTCGTTGAAGAGGGGGCCCAGGCAATGACACCGGGCTGGGCCCGTTGTTATTGCTTCCAAGTTGCTCTTGATTCCCACTTATGTTTCCCCGGTCCCACCTTTTTTAATATATAAGGCTTCTCAGGCCTGCATCTCAAATTTTTATATGATTTACATATATAAAATGTATTTTTATTCCAGATAAGTATACTAACTCATAATTTAAGGCAAAATGTATAATTAACCGTTCTCGGGCGTGCGAACCAAAAATGTAAAACTAACGCAATTGTAAAGACAAATAAATAAATAAATTAACTAAAAACAGCCATGAGGCAAGGCAGGGAACTGGGGAGACGAGTGGTAGGCAGGGGCTTGTGGGTTGTGTTGGGGGTATCGCGGTTGGATGGGACGATTGCGCCTCTCCGGCAGCCATGTCCGCAACACCTTCCCCTCTGTCTCTCTTTTTTTCCCTCTGGGTCAGCGCCGAAAAGCCATTCATCGATTGGAGTTTCAGTTAGCGTATTCTTTAAAACTTTGTTAGGTTATACGCTGCCAATTCCCTTTTTAACGCTGTTTCCGAATGAGCCTGTATGTTTGCGCAGTTTCTCTCCCTCCCTTTTTATTTTTAGTAACGATTTCAAGACTTTTTCGCTGAACTTGAACCAATTTGTATTTGTACTAATGCCAGTTTCTGATCTCTACGTGAAACTGATTTGGATATTGCAGTGGTTATCAAAGAATTTAACTTTAGAGCAAAAAAGGTGACAATTGGTGGGTAATAATGCCTGACCAAGTCCTTTTGCAATGGTTTCCCTAATTGTTGCTCTTCATTCTAATTCTTCATTCAATTTCTCTTCTTCTCATTCGAAAACGGGTTCGGTTCATTTTTGTCCTTATATTCATCTAAGATGTAGGGGATTTTTATTTACCCTGTATACATTGTTGTCATGAGAAAATTGTATTGCCATCACAGGCAAGAAATTACATCAACAAATAAAAGGATAAAAATCAACACGAAACATGTTGTCATACTTGATATTACATAACTATGTAACTTTAATAGAATTAAACCAAAAGTTAAAATTTGTTTTGGAGGATAATATTAAATTTGTAATTATTTGCCATCACAGGCCTATAATTTTAATTACTTAAAACAGTCGTCACAGACTTTATAAATTATCGTCGCAGATAATTATTTTTTAAGCTAAGTTATCACAAACTAAGCTTTCTTATCCTTACCGTCTGAATTCACTAAATCCTCTTGTATCGTCCTCATCGTCTTGCTTATTAAGTCCATAATTTACCTTCATATTCAGAATTACATTTCGAGATCGTTATCATTATCAAATTTAAGAGTAACTAATATATATATCAAGTATGACAACATGTTTCGTATTGATTTTTATCCTTTTATTTGTTGATGTAATTTCTTGCCTGTGATGGCAATACAATTTTCTCATGACAACAATCTATACAGGGTAAATAAAAATCCCCTACATCTTAGATGAATATGAGGACAAAAATGAACCGAACCCGTTTTCCCACTCACCTGGAAAACCTGGAAATGTCAGGGAATTTGAATAACGGTAAAAAAAAGTCATAGAAAAGTCAGGGAATTTGCTGAATTTTACAAAAAGTCAGGAAACTTAACGAATTTTTCTGGAAAAATATTTTTTGCGATTTTTGAAAATGTTTTTTAAGTGATAAGTTACATTAAAGAGTGCCAATTATTTCTTAAAGCTTTAGTTAGTTATTTTTAAATTTGCCATATTTCATTATAGTAAGAGCAGAGGTTGCTTTAAATCCGAACACAATTGGACTGTAATTAGAATAATAAGTCATGAGTCATGACAATGCAACAGCAGAATCTGGGTTTTCTATTAATACACATTTGTTGGTCAAAAACCTAATAGGGAAAACTCTTATATGGCAAAGAATTGTGTAGGATGCAATTAATATTAAAATGTTGCAATCACGGATGAATTCGTCAACTTAGGGTGAAAAAAAAAAAGACTAGGCACACCATGAAAAAGCGGAAATTTAATCTAAAATAAATAATGTGCAAAAATTACGTTTCTCTTAAAAAAGGATTCTTGACCTCAAACAAGCCAAGATCCTTTCGAAAAACGTATTTTACTTATATTTTAGTATCAACTTACCTTAAAATCCTGTAAAACTTGTATATACCAACTTTCTTCATCAGGATTTCTTTTTCTTAAAAATCGATAAATTTACTGAAATTAGCACTAAAAAGTATTTTGATCAGTAAGTTATTTTGTATAAACAGTTGCACATTTAAACGCGTCTTTTTAAGACAAATTAAAAAACAACTGAATGTTCATAATCAGGACGATAGTAAACTAACAAATGGACAAAATTAAAGCACCTTTTTAAAATTTTAATATATTGGCGTGAAAAGTCGTCCTTTGGATATTTTTAGCCTTACTTAGGTTGCCAAAGCTTAACATTGTGGATGAAGTGGTTTATGGAATACACCCACAAAACTAACACATGCAAATAGCAAGTTTGAAGTATTTTTCTAATACATTCAGGTTACTCTCACGCTACAAAACAATTCAAAAATGCTTGAGAAAGATCTGCCAATTAACCATGTGCGCTTCCGAGTGGATTACCACTTATAAATTCTCCCCAGGTTCTGGCTTCTAGAGTGCTTGCAGCCCTCAACCTCAATCACCCCTGCCATCTTGCATAAAATTACCTACTACGTGCACCAAGCTAAATCCTGAACCTTTAACTTTAGAGATTAAGACTCCTAATTTTATGGTGGTAACTTCACCGGGGCTTTACTAACATTACCTATTAAAGATTCACCACATCCAGATTACTACTCTGTAAAGCTCTTAAGCTGACTTGACAATTCAAAATCACTAGCTCTGCTAGAAGTATATGCATGCTGAAGAAATTCTCATGAGAAAGATGATGGGCCATTTTCTGCTAAAGCATAAAATGTTACAAGTCTTAAAAAAATATATTTTGTACGCAGTGGTCTCCGAGATCGGGGGCTGCAAAAAGCTTAATTGAATTTCCGGACCTGGAGGTAATGCACTCGAAAGCACACATGATGTGTTGGCAGATCTCCCTAATGTATTTTTGACTGATTTCTGACTGCTTTGTTTTGTAGGGTTTTTCCAAAGACTAATGAACCCATGGTGATACAAAAAAATGGTTAAATGAGTTTATTTTATTTTTATATAAATTTAAAAGTTCTGCTTTAATTTTGTCCATCGGCTTATTTAAAAAAACATTAGTTCACTTGATATATCAAGGGCGGATCAAGGAATTGGATAAAATTCCCCCTTCCCAAGAGCATTAGTACCTACTGGGAAAAAATGTTGAGTGAGAAAAATTAAATTAGAAAATTTGCCCCGGGATAACATATAAAAAAAACAACTGTACACTAAATACTTTTCAAAATAACATCTCTAGATTTTAGGTAAAAATTTATTCCCCCCTCAAGAATCCGCCCCTGATAAAAAAAGTATTGTTTGTTTCACTATACTGCTCTGCCTACATCGCTAAAACCCAGTATATGCAATATTAATAATATTAAAGGGCAAAAGATCATTTTTATTATAAACCTATTAATATTTTTGTTATAGTGGAATGTTATCACATGATACTAGACTGAGGTGTGACTTAGTTGACTTATATTATACTTTATATGGTATTAGAAGACCTGTCTGTTTACCTATTACTGAATTAGCTGGAATAATGTCCGCATCTAAACTAGATGCTAAGAAAGATAAACAGTATGCCCAAAAATCTAATACATTTAATATATTGGATACTACAAAAGTTGCTTCATCTCCAACAAATGAGTCATTTTCTCATTATTTAAGTGATGGTTTACAATGCATGGATATAGAATTTTTGAATGATAATAAAATAAAGGTAATGTAAATTAAAAGTTATTTTAAATATATAATATTTAAAATATATTTTTTGTATAGGAAGAACCAATGGAAGTTGAAATGTCTGTTGCCCTGACAAAACAAGAATATTTTTCTGATAATTCAGTATCATTACCCGGTATGGACCAAAGTGGCCCAGTGGGATTTGAACCAGGAATGTTTAAGAAAGATAATGAAGTCAAACTTAAGGATAAGCTTGATAATGGAGGAAAGGTAAAATAATTTGTCTTTTTAAAGTGTACTTAAATTTAATTATACTTAATACTTTATTTCAGTTAAAAAAAAAAAAAAAAGATAAAAAGAAACATAAACATAAGCATAAACACAAGCATGAACATAAACATAATAAAGATAAAAAAGAAAAGGATCCCAATAAGCTAAAAATTAAAGATGAAACATTAAGTTCAATGAGCTCTACACCAAGTCCAAATCCACTTTATCTAGGAGGAAACGATGTTTTATAACTTATTTTAAATGTAATTGTATGAATTGTATTACCCCATTAAAAGTGCTGTTCAAAAATGGGAGGTTTAATTAACCATTTTAAATTGCTGGCCAATCCAAAGCTGTTAAATTTACAAAAATAATATTTTTATTAAAAAGTTTACTTTATATTAAAACTTAAATACTTAAACCTTTATACATTGAGGACGCGTGGGTTGGAACAAATTCATTTAAAATTCAGGGATTTGTTTTTTGAAAAAACGCTCAGACACGTCGATTTTTATTTTTAGATGCGGTTTTTTTAATAGTAAACTCACTTATACAGGATTACCCAAAAATAAGTTACGACCATCACCTTTATTTTTTTAATGGAAACCCCTATTTTTTATTTTATTTTTGAATTTTGCATCAAATTCTAAGTATGTTTTATGTACCATGTCCTATACCTAAACTCAACAGTTATCGAGAATTACGAGTGAACATAATAAAATACCGGTTTTCTGAGGATTTTTTGTATCGAGCAAAACATTTAATTTTAAGTTTATTTTAATTGGTTTTTTAATTCTGGTACTTTTTATTGTCGACTGTATGATAATTTTACTTCAAATAAGTAATTTTCAAGTGCAGTTAAAAGGTTTGAAATAATGGCGCGTTTAACTGAGAAGCAGAGAATATAAATTTTGATGATGGTAGGATATGGCGACATAATAATAACAAGTAACCGGAAAGGTCCATTACACGATCGGTAGTTAGTAAGATAAAAAAAAAGTTTAGAAACTTTGGCCTTGTAAGAGACAATTATAAAACCAACCATCTTCCAGTTCCAGAAAACAAACAATTGGATTTTTATCTTACTAACTACCGATCGTGTAATGGGCCTTTCCGGTTCCATGTTATTAAACATTTCGCAAACTTTACCTTGTGTTTGAGTCCTGTCGCCATATCCTACCATCATCAAAATTTCTATTATCTGCTTCTCAGTTAAACGCGCCATTATTTCAAACCTTTTAACTGCACTTGAAAATTACTTATTTGAAGTAAAATTATCATACAGTCGACAATAAAAAGTACCAGAATTAAAAAACCAATTAAAATAAACTTAAAATTAAATGTTTTGCTCGATACAAAAAAATCCTCAGAAAACCGGTATTTTATTATGTTCACTCGTAATTCTCGATAACTGTTGAATTTAGGTATAGGACATGGTACATAAAACATAATTAGAATTTGATGCAAAATTCAAAAATAAAATAAAAAATAGGGGTTTCCATTAAAAAAATAAAGGTGATGGTCGTAACTTATTTTTGGGTAATCCTGTATAAGTGAGTTTACTATTAAAAAAACAACATCTAAAAATAAAAATCGACGTGTCTGAGCGTTTCTTCAAAAAACAAATCCCTGAATTTTAAATGAATTTGTTCCAACCCACGCGTCCTCACTGTATACAGTGTGTATTAAACCGAATAGATACAGCGAGAATAAATCCCACCTACTGTCATGCGCCTAAAAGTTGTTGGGGTGGCTGCCTTACAATACTCGTAACGAAAATCTAGTACAACTCCCTAGCGGCAGTTTGATAAATGCACTGAAACCTTGCGTTCGTCTTTGTTACAAATTAACATATTTTCTCAAACATAATGGTTTTTACTCGCGAGGAAAAATACTAAAGGGGATACTATGGGCCATACCGCATGGCATCAATCGTATTTTCAAATACAATATTTATTTCAAAATAGGCCTATACCCAGTGTAGGTAAAATCCAGCAAATTATACACAATATTCGTATGCCTGAGTGTATTTCGAAGCAGAGGCATAAGTGGTGTCTTATGCCTCTGCTTCGAAGGGCAGCCAAGACGGAATGACGATCAAGAAGCAAGGAACATTTAGATTTGTTTTTATATTAAAATGTATTGCCCTATACAATGTACCAGACAACTTTCTGCTCAATTTGATATTTCTCAGGATATGGTCTCCAAAACTTTACGCAAACATGGGAATAATACTTATTTATTGAAGAGGGGTAACGAGCAACATTTTTTAGAATATGTAATGAATAATACGAACGAGGATAATTTTATCCCATACATTCTTTTAGGCATGAGCCGACTTTTTTATTACATGGTCGTCACAATTCCCAAAACATCCGCTGGTGGGCAGAAGGGGAAATCCCCACGAGGTGTATGCTGCCCGAAAAAAGCGCCCCCAAAATGAAATGTTTGGGCTGGAATTCTTGGAGACCATATCATTGGGCCATTTATTATTAATGGAAATCTTAATGGGAAAAATTATCTGGAGCTAGCTCAAAATCAAATTGAGCCCAGTTATGCAGAAAGCTTCCAAACCATCAAACAATTATTGTGCGTTGAGGTTAAAGTTTTAGTTTACTTTCATCAAATCGCAATAACTAAAATGTAATTAATATGAATGTTTACATAAAAAACATAATAAAATGTATTAAATACTTTCATATAAACTAACTAAATACATCCATACAAACTAACTTTATATAGGTATATATTTTATGACTCTATTTCATGACGGTGATTTTATAGGGTTTAGAGATTTTTTCTGAATAAACCCGGACAACATTCATGATATTCATACGAACATCATGTCGTGATTTTCACAAATTTTATTCATACTGATATCATACGGAAGTCACCGCGTGATAAATGAAAATCATACGAACATCACGTCGTGATTTCTACAAATTTTATTCATACGGACATCATCCGGATGAAACTGCGTGAGAAATGAAAATCATGTCGTGATTTTTTATGCCATCGCTGTTTGCGATTGACCGATGGCACAAAAAATCATGTCGTGATCCAACGGTGTTTGGATAATCATTTTTGCGCCACGTTCGTACACTAAGAGAAAAATTATGTTGAGTCAACAGTTTTTGCGGTTAAATACATTTAATATTTTCTTGGATTTAAATTAACTATTAATTTAAATCGAAAAAAATATTGAATATATTTAACCACAAAAACTGTTGATTCAATATACATATATGTAGGTATACTTTTTCTCTCAATGTACGAATGTGGCACAAAAATAAATATCCAAACACCGTTGGCATAAAAAATCACGACATGATTTTTTATGCTGTCGGACCGACAGTGTCGGTGTTTGGGCATAAAAAATCACGACATGATTTTTATGCCATCGGTGCACCGACATGTTTGGATATATATTTTTGCGCCATATTCGTACATTGTGAGAAAATGTATGTTAACAATTGAATTAACAGTTTTTGCGGTTAAATACATTTAATATTTTCTTGGATGTAAATTAACTATTAATTTAAATCCAAAAAAATTTTGAATATATTAAACCACAAAAACTGTTGATTCAATATACATATATGTAGGTATACTTTTTCTCTCAATGTACGAATGTGCCGCAAAAATAAATATCCAAACACCGATGGCATAAAAAATCACGACATGTTTTTTATGCCATCGGTGCACCGACATGTTTGGATATTTATTTTTGCGCCACATTCGTACATTGAAAGAAAAAATATGTTAACAATTGAATAAACAGTTTTTGCGGTTAAATACATTTAATATTTTCTTGGATGTAAATTAACTATTAATTAAAATCCAAAAAAATATTGAATGTATTTAACCACAAAAACTGTTGATTCAATATACATATATGTAGGTATACTTTTTCTCTCAATGTACGAATGTGGCGCAAAAATAAATATCCAAACACCGATGGCATAAAAAATCACGACATGATTTTTTATGCCATCGGTGTTTGGATATTCATTTTTGCGACTCATTCGTACATTGAAAGAAAAAGTATGTTAACAATTGAGTCAACAGTTTAACATTCAATATTTTCTTGGATTTAAATTAATTATACATAGTTAATTTAAATCCAAGAAAATATTAAATGCATTTAACCGCAAAAACTGTTAATTCAACATAATTTTTCTCTTACTGTACGAACGTGGCGCAAAAATGATTATCCAAACACCGTTAGCATAAAAAATCACGACATGATTTTCATTTCTCACGCAGTGACATCCGAATGATGTCCGTATGAATAAAATTTGTGAAAATCACGACGTGACGTTCATATGATTTTCATTTATTAAGCGGGGAATTCTGTATGATATCAGTATAAATAAAATTTGTGAAAATCACGACGTGATGTTCGTATGAATATCACGAATGTTGTCCGGGTAGGTTTTAAATTCGCAGTTCGCAGGGCTCATACGCATGCGCAAATTTTGCAAATATCACACCGTGAGTTCTACATGATATCACTTTGATGAAGCATGTGTATGCACTCAGGATATCACAGCGTGATAAAAAAAATCACGTTGTGATATCATCAGGAAATCCCGATTGTTGTCCGGGAAGTTTAGGTTAATTTTGTTTCTCTAAAGAATATCTTAAGTTTAATGTAACTTTTCTTGTTAACATATGTCTAATGATAACATTAAAAGCTGATATGACAATTATTTTTATGAGTATGTGTAGGAGTATGGGAACGTATGGCAGGCTCCAAATATATTATCCTCCACTAATCTCCCGGGGTTATTTTACCCCCTTTTCGTTCTCCTGCGTATCCCGCCAAATCACAGCATTACCTCTGTTTGTTGGATCCGAAGTTTTTACGCCGGCTGGTAGATCCACCCTACCCTATTAAAAATGCCCTATAGAACCCATATTGATCCAGATAAGGAAACTAATATGGATTTTTTTTTTTTTTTTTATTTATTTATTTACCCAAAAAGACCAAAGGTCCATAACAAGTAAAATACAATATAAAAATGTAGTGATTGTAACAAGTTTATACAATATATAATTCACTTAATACTCTGTATTGTAGTTTCTTTCTTCAATTATTAGATTTTTTACAGCCCACTGGAAAGCATTGATATTTGTTTGGTTCTTAATTTCATTTGGAAGTTCATTGTATAGTTGAGCTGCATTTCTAGTTAGACTTTTTCTACCAGTATTGCATGTATTAGGAAGTATAAATATATCATATCGATTTCTTGTAGGATAATTATGAATATCACAGTTATTTTTCAGGTTTAAAATGGAT